GCATATAGGTGTCTTTCGTGGCTAAAATTCAATTTCAAAAATTGACTTTGGAATACTTTATTTTGAATTTGGGGAAGTATTTTAAAATCATACGATACATGTTAACATTTATGTTATTCAATGTATGGGGTTTATCGGTGTTGAGTGGTTTTAGATGTCTCCACAGAAAATATTCCATTGATGTGAAAAGCATGTCCGTGTAAGATAGTAAATCGCTTTTGAAAAATCTTACGCTGATCGAATTCCTATTATTTCAAAAATGCATTGCCTAACGACTGGGCTAAAATACCGTACAGTACCTACAAAAAGGTAGATCACAAATTTGGCACTAAAAAAATACCATTATTATTGTGGTCATATTGATATTTATTTATTTTTGGGCTAAATCATGCCCGTCAATGCTGTTACTCAAGTTGTACTTCATGTTTTATAAAAAAATAGGTTAGAAAAATATTAGAAAACTTCAACAAAATATTTTCGAAAAAAGAAAATAATTAATTAAGAACTGAATTTGAAAACAGGTAAACAATATTATTTTAATGTAATTTTAAAACATGTTTCAAAATGTAGCTTTGAAGATAGCTTGTTAGTTCATCCATATACATAATTAAAATTTTCAATATTTTCATTTATTTAAATTAATAACGTTTTTGTTTTCAGGTCAGTGCCATCAACTTGAGAGTTTTATGGTAAGCACAACCCATTCAGTTGATTTTAGGTAATATTTAAACCTACATTTTCACAAACTTTTTAACAATGATTATATCACTTTAATTTATTTACATAATAATTTATGAGTTGAAATTCACGCTTACCTATGTTAAAACTTATTTTTAGTGCGAACGCCCTTGGTATTTAACAGAAACAATATTTGCAGCTAATGTTATTTTTTTTTTATCGTTTCATTCTTTATACTTCTTCGGAAGTCAACCTGTAGCAAACGTTAAATTCATTTTGTCATAACGTTAATAATGTCAGGGAAAACGTGCAAGTTAAATTGTTGTACTAAATATATTTTTCAATATAGAATTAAGGTTTGGAATAAATAAAGAACTAATATTTACTGAAATGTACTAGTTCTTGGTGAATTTGTATTGCTCTAAAAATATGCATTTCCACTTCAAAAGCAAAGTCAACGTGGATCTTCTATTCGCAATCGCGATAGCATTTCGCTTTAACAATGTGTCATCTGGAACCTCAAGATTTAGAAGGCACCGAAATATCTTGCAGCGTTATCAGTGGCCTGAATAATGCGGCTTGCCTCACGGTTGTAAAAGATGGAAGATAACTAAACACACGACGCGGTGAAGTTGTGAATGGAAGAATCCTGATCAAACACACGCCGACGGGTTCAATCCATGTTGTCAGTGTAAGAATGAAATGCTAACTGGTAAAAATCCGTCAGCTGCCTCAGTTGAACATGTTTTTGATCAACTGACTGTTTCCTGGTCTATCTTTTCATTTTTTTGCTTTCCCCAACTCTGAATACATCTTTCAATGAAATAAATTATATAAAACAATGTTTTGGTGACTGCGCTGAATCAAATACTGTAAGTCAAAACAGCGTACTTAATCACTGGCCTAAATTGACTCCATTAAACAGAAGTTCAATTGTAACGATGGTAGTGAAGCTCGCATGGAAAATAAGAAAAGTTTAAAAAAACGCTTGATGTGATGAACTGTATTTTTCGTGATAGTGCCCACTTTTGTGAGGCTAGCCTATTCACAAAATATAGTCGTTTTAAGTTGTTTTACTTTATAAGTCAGTTCCCAATAGCATTTCTTGCTTTCATTTTAACAAACCGCTGTTGCGATTTCAAGAAAGTACGACGAAACAAGTATTAACTCCCTCGAAAGGAATTAAAATTGCTGACAATTTGTCAACGTTTATATTTGTTTAAATATTTCTAAAAGAGTGTTTGTTCTTGTCCAATATTTAAGATAACACAACGAACAAAGATGATGAAAACAAATAAATTTTTATAACGATACTTTTGTATATTTACTAAAAGGAAGTTCGGAAGAATGAAGTCTTCAAGTGAAAATGTGTATAGCTAATGTCCAGATGAATAAGCTCCAGGTGATGCTTTTTTGGGTCATATTTTAGTCCAATAACTCACCAGTAACAACCGCTATCATTTTGGTGACCCGGTGGTTATGAATCTACCATGGGACATTGCCCTTCTCCGGTATTTGAACGGAGTAGCGGTGATGTAGGTTGATGGTATCTCCCAAATTGTCGGTTGAGGGCCAACAACACGACCGCAAAATTGTTTTCTACTGAGGAAGAGTTGTTCTCACTTTCAACGCTAGGTGTTGGGACGGGTTGAAAATGTCTACGGATCGTGGAAAATTGTAAAAAGGATTTCTGTTGGAGAAAATACTTTCACGGGAATTTTTGATAGGTGATCATGATTTAGGTGTGATACGTTTTTGATGACTATTTACGATTAGCCTACGTATTTTCCAGACGTGTCGGTATTAGAGTATTTCATGTAGGTTTGCTGTACAGTACATTTTTCGAGCTGTGAAGGCTCATATTCACTAAAAAATGAGTAAATTTCAAAATAAACCCCACCGAACGAGATATTAAAGAGTAGACACGTCCACTCCTTTTATCCATGATTCTATACAATGAATTAGTTATTTTTATTTTGTTGTTTTTTTTTCTAACGTATACAAAATTCATTATTTTCAATAATATATTGCTTGGAGACTTAACAAAAATGCATAATCAAAATGGACTATGACTCATAATTATTCTGTAAAAACCACAGTTATTACCACAATTATTAAAAAACCACTTTTCCCAAAGACCAAAATCTGGATACTAAATAAAAAATTCATGCATTCAAATAAAACAGTTCTCTAAAAAAATAATAACTAAAATAATTCTCTAAAAATACGATAAACTATCTTTCTATCACTTGTACGTGAGAAAATACTATACAACTGTTAACCAATTTAACTCTCACTCGACAAAGGAATCCTACACCGCTTATAATAACCCACTCGTGTGTAGTGTGTAGTGTTTATAAAGGAAGTCGTATTTCGGCACCTGTCTAGCAACAAGAGGTCTGGCACTTACACTCTCGCCGTGAAACATTGGTCTGCAGAGGTGTAAATCTGCGAAACTGGTCCCGCGGAGGATGTATCAATCATGTGAGATTTAGTGTGAGGAAGCTGGAATGGTCACCTGGAGAGTTAAAACTTTCAGACGTCCGGGGTGGAAAATATAAGGTGCGATGTGGTAAAAAGATAGTGTTGGAAGTTTGTTTAATTTGTATCTCTAGAATTTTGGGGAAATTGTGTGGATTTGTACCACAAAGTTTAATGAAATATCTTTATGTACAAGTTCCCAGAAAAATATTAGTTTTTCCAATAAACCCTCTCCTAGGGACAAATACTATAACTAAAGGGTTGTATTAAATTACAGTTCAAACATTGAATAAGCGTCAGTGTGTAGTTTGATTTATAATTGTTTCTTCTATATTGGGTTAAACCTTTTGATTTGATATAATACATGTCCTATGTTTTCATTTCGATAAATTTAATATTTTTGATATTGTTAATTCGTAGATTTCAAATACATAAACCAAAGATATAGGCCTATGTATTAAAATAAAATACGCTGTACAATTGAGTTTTGTCTGTATAATCAATGGTGAGTGTGTAATTGTTTTACAAGATATTTAAAGAACCACATTTAATTTGTTGGTTACTTGGCAAAGTACTAAATTATTTTAACTAGCCTAAAAAACCTTTCTTTCGCCAAATTTACCTATGCACTCTAATATAACAAAATTAAAAAAAGTAGATGTTTTTACTTAAATTTATGAAAAATTAACATATTTATGAAACATTAATAATTATGTATCAAATTTAGTTTCTATGTACCTGTATATCAAATACAGTAGGTGTTTTACACTAACACATCAAGTAAAATCCAAATAATTAGTTATACTATCAATATATTTACTCTGAGAAACCCCGGTCAATATTTGTTATCAGTATAATGTTCATGTAATTTTTATGCAATTCTGTTTGATAATAGATTGCTCAGTTCGTGTTAGATTTTAGACATTTTGTAACATATTATTGAGGTGTTATCTTTACTACGAGAAGTGAGTGTAAAAACAAACAAGTTTTTGCGGGATGTAGCTTCTCAAATCTTACAACAATTTTTATTTTTTCTCTTCCTCGTCAGAAAATCGTTTTCAAAATGTATTCAACGATTTTAAAGGTTCTGTCTTCATATTTAATAAATACCCTATGGTTTTATTTTACTGTAAATGTTTGCTACTAAATTATTTAAATTTTATCCTTAGGCACTTATAATCTTTTTACGAACATAATCTATCTTTAACAGTCTAGAAATGTGTTTAACTCAAGTTTGTTCAAAATTGTACATTCATAGAACACTATTTGCAATCTGTACTAAATTAATCGTATTGATTTAACTGATTGATGTAACTGTATATTCATGTGCTAAATCATTTTGATAGGCGTTGAACTATTTTTCCTCAATAATTATAAAAGTTATTTATTTAAATGTAGTTAGTTATTTAATATTCGAAAACTACATCTACATAATTTTTATCGATTAATAAGGAGTTTCAATTCGAATTATAATATTAACAATGTACTAAAAGTTTATGTTATGATTTTTATAAAATTTTCTTTGTTTTTTTAACTCTTAGTAATGTTTTCAATGCTTTTCTTGCTTAAATATACACGTTTTAAAATCCACTTAATTCATGCAGTCGTTTTATTTTTGTGCTTTGAAACTTTTTGTTTACTACACGAAAATTTGCACATTTTCCAAAATCTCCCACAAATTCCTTTTTTCAATTGACGATAAACATAGAAACTAGATAATATTTATAATACAATTTTTTCATATATTTTGAGTTTATGTACCAAAAAGTATTTGTTCCACAATTGAAATTTTTGAAAAAATAGGGATTGACTAAGTAAGGAATTACTGTAAATTGCTTTACCAGCTGATGCTACAGATATCCAAGACAGAAGAAGTGTTAACGTCCTCATGTTGATTCACGTGTTAATCCACTCATATAATCTTCAGCACTAGGTACTGCACTGCACCGCGACCCATTGTACACTGAACTGACAGACTCACGTCGCACACACCGGGTCTACGCTACTCTACCCCCTCCCAGGCCAACGGGAGCAAGTCAGTCGAGTTTACGGATTTTAATTTAGGGTTAAAATCCAATTAGGCAATTTGAAATTTCCTTAGTCTGCAGGTTTGCTGTAGCGGGGGTATTTCAAGTTCTGCAGCATGGTTAGGAAATCAATTTGCAAAATTTTTTTTGTTTTAGAGTAAAAAAAATGGGAAAACCCAATTTTAACCCCGTAAAACCCGCGTGAACCCCCGTTTTTATAGTTCGATCAAGCTGGTTCGCGAACTCGTTTGAATAAATAAATGTAGGCTTAGTCATTGTACTAAATTTAAACAAAATCGGATAATTTTGACTCGAGTTGTATCGTGCTAACGGACACACAGAATATATGAATTTAAACGGATGCAGGCCTCTGGAGACATGAGAACGTACAAATAAATCAGTCCCGGGCCTACTAAAAAGGTATTACCATGAGTCCCATGGTAATAGGTTATTCCCTGGAAAACTCGCCAAAACCCACAGATAAATACAGTACTCACACTGACAGGAGCCCCGTGATTGTTATTCATGCATTTCCTAACCTCTTGCCTAACGGGGGAGCGAGCTGGCGTAGTGGCTAGAGCGCGGGACTTCGGTCCGTGAGGTCCCGGGTTCGATCCCCGCCAAGTCACCAATGGATTTTATCTAAGTGATAATGCCGTAACCCCTAGGTCTAGCCTGAAGTAATGTGAAAAACAATCCCAGGCTCGTGCCTAGCGTCCTAGGACAAAAAAAAAACCTCTTGCCTAACGGTGTTCTTAACTGTCTTAGAGGTAGGAAAAAACAAGAGAATTAAAAAAACCCTCATGATTCAAATCACCTTTATTGCCTTTTTTGTCCTAGGACCCTAGGCACGAGCTCGGGATTGTTTTCACATTACTTCAGGCTAGACCTAGGGGTTGCGGCATTATCACTTATTGGTCATTTGGTGGGGGTTCGAACCCGGGACCTCAGGAACCGGAGTTCCGTGCTCTAACCATTAGACCAGCTCATTGACCTTTAGAAGTTCGTGTACTTTTAAACATCTCAAAATGAAACTCAATTCCTTTCGAAATGTATCATGTGCAGTCGAATCTTTATGAGATGTCCACGTCGTTGAACTTGCGAAATGCTGTTCAAAGTTTCGGAAGAGTCCGTCTAGTCCCAGGTAGACGGAGGTTCAAAAGACAGGTTCCATCATACATACTTTAGATACCTACCTTCCAGCCTTTCAGATAGGTAGGCCAGGTTTATACAGTTATCAGTGAACTACTTCGAACCTAAACATTATGCTTGCGGATATATAATTTTAAGCCTGCGTATTATTTTTACAGATTAAAGTTTGTCCGCCGTGAACCTTGTTAATAGTATATAGTTGACACGGAGGAGAGTTGGTGTAAAGGTCAGCATCGCTAGCTGCAAGCTGACATTTGGCTGCATTTGATGACTGGCCGACACGACGTTTACCGTACACTGTACTGAAACTAACGACCTTTATACATATTGTAATATATCACAGGGTGATGTATACTGAACAAGGTTCAATTTAAAAATATTTTCACATAAGTTAAAGTAAATAGTAAGTTCACGTAAGTTAAGTAAAAGTGCTAAGTTTATTATTTTTGTGTAGTGCAATAGTTAAGTTGTACTTAAAAATCAAAATTGTTCCCGATCTCCAAAATACAAGTAGAATATTTGGTTTGTGTCTGTTACTTACCTTTACATTGTATTCGAAAGCATCTTTATCAGCTGTTTCCTCATTATTTTAAGCAAAATTACCATTAAATATATTTTTATATATATAAACACTCCAATCACATAATGCAACAAATATCAACAGATCATGTTCATACTAATTGCATTTTAGACATTATTATTGCAATCGTAGCAATAGAACAGCACGAAGCACATTCCTCGCGACAGAACCTGTGCTTCCAGATCACATCCGGTCCAATGTAGCTGACAGACGTGCAATACAAGTGAAACTGACACCGTGATCATACAAACTCTACTTCATGTTGTGTTCTTCGACCTCACGTAGAGATCTCACAGTCTGACTGAGCGAATGACGTTAACCAAATCGCCACAACTCACCAAAGAGTGGACTATTCTTGAGTAATTGATGAATTGATTGTTGGAAATTTGTAATTGTATTTCAAAAACATATGACAGATTATTGCTGACATTTTCACCACGAAAAACGAAGTATTCACGACGTTTCGGGATCTGGACTCTTTTACCGTCATCAGGTGAGAATGTTATGAAAATATTACAAGAATTGTACACAAACCTAGCCGACGATGATAAATCATAAAAACCACTCATAGAGCGGTACACTAGTCAAAAATAAATACAACAATCTTTAGATAAAACTATAAGATGGAAACAATATATAGTCCAGTCAAGGAATGAGGTGTAGAGTGCGTGAGCAGGTAACTAAGCGATTCCTTCAGAAACTTGTTCAGGGGGCTTAGGGTGTTAACATACCAAAAGTCCTGACTCCTAGGTGGTGAGCCAGGGGGTGGAGAGGGGAAAAAGGGGGGGGGAGAAAGGTACGCATTTTGGGTTTTTTGGTTATATCTCGAAAACTATCAACTTTTTGTATACTATAGTAAATTATAAAATTGAAGAAGATTAAATTTTCTACAAGAAAAGTATATAATGTGTTTATTTTGGTTCAACAGATTACGAGTTATAACTTATTTAATTGATATCTTATTAACATCTTCTTCCATAAGAAATACATGTAAATTAGTATGCGAAATGGGGCGAATCCTATCCGCCCAAAGGAAATATAAATGATATTCTGGAAATCTTGATAAAATTTCCAGTAATTTGACACTTTAATCATTAAAATTGATCCAAAATTAAGGCGAGGGCGAGGTAACAAAATTTCGAGTTTTGGTGTTTTTTTATTGGAAATATAAAAAAAACCTTAAATCATCCCATTTTTAAACGCTCACCCTCGCTTTAATTTTTGACAAAATTTCATGATTAAAGTGTCAAATTACTGGAAATTTTGTCAATATTTCCAGAATATCAGTTATATTTTCTTTGGGCGGATAGGATTCGCCCCATTTCGCATACTAATTTACATGTATTTCTTATGGAAGGAGTATTTTAATAAGATATCAATTAAATAAGTTATAACTCGTAATCTGTTGAACCAAAATAAACACATTATATACTTTTCTTGTAGAAAATTTAATCTTCTTCAATTTTATAATTTACTATAGTATACAAAAAGTTGATAGTTTTCGAGATATAATCAAAAAACCCAAAATGCGTACCTTTTTCCCCCCCTTTTCCCCCCCTCCACCCCCTGGCTCACCACCTAGGAGTCAGGACTTTTGGTATGTTAACACCCTAAGCCCCCTGAACAAGTTTCTGAAGGAATCGCTTAGTTACCTGCTCACGCACTCTACACCTACTTTTGGATCATTCATTGACTGGACTAATAGTAGAAGTACACATACACTACACAATTAGTAGGGATAGTAAGTACACAAGTAAAAAGACTCAAAAAATCAAAAGGAGTCTACAATAATCTGTTAGCTAATGTAAATACACCATCAACAATATAGAATTTGACAAATAATGTGTTGAAGAGTAGTTTAAGATCGCTAAAGAAACTACATTGGTTGGAAAATCAGTAGTTAATGTACATGGTTTCTAATCATTCCAAACATTGTTCAAGCTTATAAAACCATTTAAATTCTGTTTTCACTATTTAAAATGAAGAATTTATAGCAAACGACACGTCGAGAGAGAGAGCGAGAGAGAGACAAGTGCTCAGTAAATCTGAAGAGTCGCGTTGCTGATTAGTTTTTCTGGGCAAAACTCCAAACTCACGGGTGGCAAGTCGTGCCAAATCGAATTAGCAAATTGCGATCCAGTCTTGGTCACTTATTGATAAGCGGGTTGAACCTGTTGAATGTTCTAATCCCTATAAATTGTTGAGTCATTTTTCATTCTCTCAGGTCTTAAACTCTTCAGATGATCGGAGATTTCCCCTAGCTTGTAGGTTAGGGGAAACTCAATAAAGTCTAGGGTTATGTCTGTCTTCTAGGTCTTGGTCTTAGTTGATGAGAGATTTTACCTAGTTTGAATTACCCAACCCATGCAAATTCGAGGGTTAGTTTTTTATAACTCTCAGTTCTTGGTTGCTTTCGCTGATAAGAGATGTCTTCCGGCTTAATTTCCAAATCCTTGTAAACTTTGAGATGTATTATTGCAAATGGTCATTAGCTTGAAAAATCAAGGTGTTCCCTGTCTTCCAAATCTTGGTTGTTTTAGCTGATGGCAATATTCCACCAGCTCAAATGACATAATCCCTCCAAATTTGAATTATGAGTTGTGTCTCTCATGGCTTAATAGTTTTGGTTGATATGCGAATTTCTGGCTTAAATTACTTATTCACTACAAATTTGAGTCAGTCCTTATGCACTCATGGGTTGAGTTGCAGAATAGCTGGGTTAGTAGCCGTACACGTAGCTTAAGATTTATTTAATTGAACTAGGCAGAGCTATTCAACCATTAGTTGTGCTGGGCTGGTCTAGTAGCACACCGGATGACAGAACGTGCCATTTCATTTCTGTCCTGACGGCGCGAGTTCAAATCTTACCGATCACCATATTGTCTTTCACCTGTGTGATAATGGCTTGACTCGTTATCTAAACCCCAGCTGTATATCCAACCATCGTAGAAAACTGAAAAAGGATAAATCTCGAGGAAAAACTTGAACTCTGTATTGTTGTTGCTTTACATCAATGATCGACAGGCTGCCTAGTAGAGCGCAGTCTCAGTTATCTGGCGCTACGGTAGGTTGGCGACGTGCGCATGCGTGGATAACGCGCAGCCGCAGTGAAGCGGCACGGACCTGGTTCATCTACCTCTCCGGAAATTCAAAGAAGCGTTTAAAGATTTTGACCAGCATCAGCAGACTGTTAG